TTAAAGAGATGTGTTGTTTGAAAAAAAAAAATAACTGCTCATAGCAATTTTAGTTTAAGTATAAAAAAATTATTAAGACCAATAGAAGAAAAAAACACAATTATAACCAAAGATTGTAATCCTTCAAATATGAAAAAATATGACTCTTTCATGTAAAAAGATGTGTTGTTTGAAAAGAATATATGTTAATGCCATAAATATCGTATGTCTAAAAAACATTTCTTAGGACAATTGCATGAAAAACAAAACAATGGTTGAAAAATTGTATCTTTTCATAATAAACTGAAATATATTAGTTTAAAAGTTGCATCTTTCATTTAAAAAAAAATTGTGTATTTTCAAAAAAAAAAAATTGTTGAAAGGTTGTATCTTTTCATAAGAACCGAATTATATTAGTTTAAAAGTTGCATCTTTTAATTACTAAACAAAGTTTATGTTTCAGATAAAATAGTTTAAAAGTATTTAAAAGAGAGTATAAGAATTGTGTCTTCTCAAAATAACAATTGTTGAAAGGTTGTATCTTTTCATAAAAAAAAAAACTTAATTATATTAGTTTAAACATTGCATCTTTTCATTATAAAAATAATTTTGTATTTAAAAAAAAATCTACTATTTTAAAAGTTGCATAAAAATTTTATTTGGACCATTATATGAAAAACAAAACAATTGTTGAAAGCTTGTATCTTTTCATAAGAACTGAAATATATTAGTTTAAAAGTTGCATCTTTTCATTATAAAAACAATTGTGTCTCAGAAAAAATAATTTAAAAATATTTAAAATAGTTATAAGAGTTGCGTCTTCTCATAATAAAAATCTTACTAATTAAACAATCTTGATTAATTCCAAAGGCTGTGAATGCCGAATAAAAAGAAAATTGAGACTCTTTATAAAAATGTCTATAAGTGTGAAAGGTTGAAAATACAAAATAAAATGAAAAGTTGTGTCTATTTAAAGAACTGAAATATATTAGTTTTAAAGATTGTGTATGTTTTCATAAGAACTAAAATATATAAGTTTAAAAGTTGCATCTTTTTGTTATAAATAGAGTTGTGTTTTTTTATAAAATAATTTCTATTATTTTTAAAATTGCATCTTTTTCATTATAAAAAAAGTTTGTGTCTCATAAAAAATAGTTTAAAAGTATTTAAAATAGGTTGTAAGAATTGTGTCTTCTCATAATAACAATTTTTGAAAGGTTATATCTCTTCATAAAAAATGAAATATATTAGTTTAAAAGTTGCATCTTNCTCTTAATAAAAATGTCTATTAGTGTGAAAGGTTGAAAATACAAAATAAAATGAAAAGTTGTGTCTCTTTAAAGAAATAACTGAAAGATTGTGTCTCTTAATAAATAAAATGAGAGGTTGTCACTTAATAAAAATCTCAACTAATTCTAAAGGTTGTGAATGTCAAATAAAATAAAAATTGTGTATCTTAATAAAAAATTACAATTAATTCTAAAAGTTGTGAATGTCAATCAAGATGAAATGTTGTGACTCTTAATAAAAATATCAATTAATGTGAAATGTTGTAAATGTAAAATAAAATGAAAGTTATATCTCTTAATAAATAAAATGAAAGGTTGTGTCTCTCAATAAAATAAAATGAAAAGCTGTGTCTCTTAATAAATAAAATGAAAGATTGTGTGTCTTAATAAAAATACCAATTGATTCTAAAGTTGTGTATCTTAATAAAAATCTCAATTAATTCAAGAGGTTGTGAATGCCAAATAACATGAAAAGTTGTAATTCTTAATAAAAACGCCTATTAATGTGAAATATTGTAAAGGCAAAATAAAATGGAGAGTTGTGTCTCTTTAAAAAAAGAAGGAAAAGTTGTGTTTCTTAATAAATAAAATGAAAGGGTGTGTATCTTAACAAAAATCTCAATTAATTCTAAAGATTGTGATGCCAAATAAAATAAAAAGTTGTGTATCTTAATAAAAATCTCAATTAATGTGAAAGGTTGCGAATGCCAAATAAAATGAAATGTGGAGTATTTTTTAAAACTATATTTTATGATTTGTTATATACCCTTAAAAGTGTCTTTTAAGGAAAGAAATAAATAATTAACCTTCTCTGATTATTTTTATATTTAATTTTAAAAATGGTTTGCATTTAAATTTGGCATACAAACTTTATAAAGTAGTTCCATAATTTGTTTAACACGATACACCTTGGATTGTATATTCATTTCTATAGGTGTGTAGTATTTACCATCAGGAATCATGCATTTCCATTTTTCAAAAAAAAAAAAAAAATTGATGGTAGTGTCTATGTGCTTTCATTACCTATACATATGAATGTATATACTTTTATACTTATTACAAGGTACAATAGAACTTTAAGGCTGTTTCATATACACTTCTTTTTGAGCCATCAATCCATATCATGGATCATAGTCCATAGCACCCGACCATGAACAGTATGTTTACCACTCATGATGGCTCGGCCTTAACTCTAATGACTTGCATCCATAAGTATCAATGATATTATGTTCGTTCACTTTTAGTAACATTATGTTCGCACCCTTCCGGTGATGTTATATTCACACCTTTATGATGATGTTACATTCTCACCATTTTAGTGATGTTACATTCGCACCCTTTCGGTGACGTTCCATTTGCACCCTTTCGGTGACGTTACATTCACACCTTTTCGATCCCGAACCACTCGCACCCTTTCGGTGCCGAACCGTTTGCACCCTTTCGGTGCCGAACCGTTCGCACCCTTTCGGTGCCGAACCGTTCGCACCCTTTCGGTGCCGAACCTTTCGCACCCTTTTGGTGCCGAACCGTTCGCACCCTTTCGGTGCTGAACCGTTCGCACCCTTTCGGTGCCGAACCGTTCGCACCCTTTCGGTGCCGAACCGTTCGCACCCTTTCGGTGCCGAACCGTTCGCACCCTTTCGGTGCCGAACCGTTCGCACCCTTTCGGTGCCGAACCGTTCGCACCCTTTCGGTGCCGAACCGTTCGCACCCTTTCGGTGCCGAACCGTTCGCACCCTTTCGGTGCCGAACCGTTCGCACCCTTTCGGTGCCGAACCGTTCGCACCCTTTCGGTGCCGAACCGTTCGCACCCTTTCGGTGCCGAACCGTTCGCACCCTTTCGGTGCCGAACCGTTCGCACCCTTTCGGTGCCGAACCGTTCGCACCCTTTCGGTCCCGAACCGTTCGCACCCTTTCGGTTCCGAACCGTTCGCACCCTTTCGGTGCCGAACCGTTCGCACCCTTTCGGTGCCGAACCGTTCGCACCCTTTCGGTGCCGAACCGTTCGCACCCTTTCGGTCCCGAACCGTTCGCATCCTTTCGGTCCCGAACCGTTCGCATCCTTTCAGTCCTGAACCGTTCGCACCCTTTTGGTCCCGAACCGTTCGCACTCTTTCGGTCCTGAACCGTTCGCACGGTCACGATCCGTTCGCACCCTTTCGATCCCGAACCGTTCGCACCCTTTCGGTCTCGAACCGTTCGCACCCTTTCGGTCCCGAACCGTTCGCACCCTTTCGGTTCTGACACGTTCGCAACCTTTCGGTACCAACATGCTCACACCCTTTCGGAACCGATACGTTCGCACCCTTTCGGTCCCGACACGTTTGCACCCTTTCGGTCCCGTCATGTTCGCACCCTTTCGGTACCAACACGTTCGCACCCTTTCGGTACCGACACGTTCGCACTCTTTCGGTCCCGATACATTCGCACCCTTTCGGTCCCGTCACGTTCGCACCATTTCGGTTTCGATACGTTTGCACCTCTTGAGTCACGGCACGTTCGTACCTATTGGTTCATGACGCATTTGTACCTCTTGGGTCACGACACATTTGTACCTCTTGGGTCACGATATGTTCGTACCTCTTGAATCACGATACGTTCATACCTTTTCGGTCACGACACATACAAATATTATCTTCTAAAAAGTCAATATTAATATTTAAACTTATGAAAATGTATGACAAATATAATTGTGGCTACTAAAATGAAATATATGCATTTTCAATGAAGAGGTGTCAAATATTTGATGACATCATCAATCATATGAAATGATTTTTTTTGGTCCATTAGATTTTAAAATCAAGTTAACTATGACCATTATATTGAATTTTTTTTTCCTATAAAAAAATGCTGATGTCACTTTCAGTTTGCTATTATATATAGATTACTGTATATACCCACGTTCGCTTATTATCTCAGGCAGCACTAGCTCAGCTGCATAAATTCACATTTTAATTCGACCTTTTGACCGTAACACTGAAAAGTTTGCAATGAAGTTACAAACATGGAGGATCTGATAATTTTCTGTAGACTGATCAAAATTAGTTTTATTTTAGAAAATTTTAACTGCAAATAAGCATAATGTTGGTACTAAAGTCGCCCGAATATTCTCAACTACACCTCGAAATTAATTCTATAATCTAAAATTGCATTCAACAGCTATGCCAATGACGGAATTAGATTCTAGAAACGTTAGATTTGAATAGTAATATAGCAACAAAGGACACTCCAAATAAAAATAATAATAATACAAAAAGGAGCTTTTGCTCACATAGTACAATTAAACTATTTGAACGTAAACATTTGGGTAGGTGTAGCCTTTAGGCATCAAATGGATATCTAGAATTTTAAAAGTATTTATGATTTTTTGTTGTAAAATATTAAATGTTCTGTACAAAACTTAAAATATGATGATAATATTTAATATTTAATTTATTTTCAAAAAAATATATTAAATATTATTACCAGATTTTCGATTTTCTTACAGAAACATATAAATAAGTTGTGGAAATGAAGAAATGAAACTAACACAAAGTTTAAGTAATGAAATATACAAAACGAAAGAATAGGAGGCCAAGAAAGAATTGTACATCAATGAAACAATGATTGAATAAGAGACATAAGCAGAACGAATATCTAGCTATTGAGAGAAATGCACCCCTGAATCTTGATGTTACTTAGAGCATCGGTATCGGAGTCCCTTAGACATGTCCCGTAGCTTTTATTGGTTCAAAAAAATGTAAAAAGAAAATAAAATGGGTGGGACGGGCCTTGCGCAAGGGATCTACGAGCTCGTCCCTAAGCTCGAAGAGTGCGATTCCTTCTTCCTTTTATCAAACATTTCTCAATCATCCCTTGACCACCATTACCAAATCCTTCTTGATTGGACCCAACGAATATAACATTATCCGAGCTTATTTCCTCCTGTGCTGGTAAATTCTATGATCCTGTTTCTGTACTATCATTATTCGTTGTAGAATGTATTGATTTGGTAGTCTAGATCATGGAAAATGGTGGATCGAATCTCAAAATTCTGCAATTGGGTTTGCAAATTCTGCAAATGTAATCTCATTTTTAAATTGAAAGATCGTTGCTTTTGTTTTTCTGCGTTTCTTGATGATGATATTTTTTTTTCTCTGACAATTGTGGTTAATGTGTTTTTATTGGTTCTATGATTTCACCAAAATAAGATATTATTTTGATCAGCCTGATCTATAGGGAACACAATCATGTACGGTTCTGTCTGTTACTTATTGATGAGTTTGAGTTCTGTTTTTTTTTGTAATCTTGATCAGACAAGGCAATCATGCTCATTGAGTTTGTTTTTTCCAATTACAGTTGCTGAGTTGAAACATGAAACACTCATCTCTGCTTGTTGCAGTTTTAATTTTACAACGCATTTGGAGTTGATTTGGTCTCCTTTAGCATCAGAATGATGCATCCAGGGTGCAAAAAACTTATGCTGCTTCTATTCTTATTTGCCACTGTATTCACTGGGAACACTGAGGAAGACCCACACTCCGAGATCTTACACAAAGTAAAAGCTTCTCCTGATGGAAACATGGGGAGAAATGTTATAGAAGGAAGTGGCGTTGAGAAAACTTTGCATGACATTGGAATGGGTGGGAAGAGAGGCGATCACAGCAAAGTCTCAGTCTCTACAGTTGTGTTGTTCACCTTGGCAATGGCTGCTGCCACTGGGTTAGGCGCAATGCCCTTCTTCTTTGTTGAGCTCGATCCTCAATGGGCTGGAATGTGCAATGGTATGGCTGCTGGTGTGATGTTAGCCGCTAGCTTTGATCTTGTTAAGGAGGGACAAGAGCATGGTTCTGGAAACTGGGTTGTTACTGGGTTAGGCGCAGTGCCCTTCTTCTTTGTTGAGCTCGATCCTCAATGGGCTGGAATGTGCAATGGCATGGCTGCTGGTGTGATGTTAGCCGCTAGCTTTGATCTTGTTAAGGAGGGACAAGAGCATTGTTCTGGAAACTGGGTTGTTACTGGGATTCTAGCTGGTGGTTTGTTCATTTGGCTCTGCAAGCAGGTAACAACTTGAAACTGATTCTTTGTATAGAATCTCAGCATTGAAAACTCACTTTATCTTTTGGCAGTTCCTCGAACAATATGGTGAGGTACGCATGTTGGATATTAAAGGAGCAGATGCAGCGAAAGTTGTTCTTGTCATAGGGATTATGACACTTCATTCTTTGGGGAAGGATCATGTGTTGGTGTATCGTTTGCTGGTTCAAAGGGTTTTAGTCAAGGACTTCTGATCACTTTGGCAACAGTCGTTCATAATATTCCAGAAGGGTTGGCTGTTAGCATGGTGCTTACATCAAGGGGTGTCTCTCCACAAAATGCCATGCTCTGGAGTATAATTACATCTTTACCTCAGGTTTTATAGACAATGTTCTTTGATCTGATTGTCTACATAACAGATTGTTGATTTTTTGTATTCTTTGTTTATCAGCCACTAGTTGCAGTGCCAGCTTTTTTATGTACTGATGCATTTAGCAAGTTTTTACTCTTTTGCATGTTTTATTTAAAATTTTTTAAATATTTATTAATTAGTAAGAGAAATTTAATTAAATAATAAACTAAGGGACAAGCAAAGTCCCACCAATAATTAACAAAATTTTGCTTGTCCCTTAGCTTAGGTCCCTTAAGATAAAAGCTAACTAGATTTTGACCCGCGCTTGAAAGTGCGGAAATTTTTATGTTTAAAAATTTATATAATTGGGTTTTGTCTTAATTTAAAAATATTTTGATATAAAATCAGTTCACCAAAATTTGTGGTGATGATTGTTTTTCATTAGTTTTTAGTTTTAGTTTTTATTTTTAGATTTTGGTTTTTGGTTTTTAGTTTTTAAGTTTTTACTTTCATTTTCAGTTTTTGGTTTGGGTTTTAAATTTTTAAACCCGCTGAGTTAGTTTGAACTAATATTACCAACAAACAAATCTCAAATAATCAAACATCTAATTTAAAACTGAAAAGATGATAACAATTTTTTTAAAAAAAATTTGAAATAGTTTATTTTGTAAATAAACAAAGCAAAAAAATATAACATGTGTTTTCAGCTTTTGGTTTTAGTTTTTAGATTTGGTTTTTGGTTTTGCTTTACATTTTTTTAATCAGTAAATTATTTAAGAAAAATAAAAAAAATAAATTATTCAAAAGTTACCATTGAAATTTATCAAAACAAAGTGATTGTTATTAAAAAAAATGTTAACATGTTTTAAAATAAATGATTTAAATAAACGATTAATAATAGATAATTTTGTTTTGTTAAAAATATTAAATACCTTTTGAGTCTGAAAATAATAATTGATTTTTTGATCTTTTAAGGTGAAAATTTTATTCAATGTTTTTGGAGTTTTTTCTTAATACTAAGCCAAAAAACCAAATTATATAATTTGTTCAAAAAATAAAAGTAAGCCCAACACTATATTTCATAAATAACCACTGGTTTAATTTAAGTATAATTAGTAGATTTACATATTCTATATTTTGATGATATATATTCTTCTAGAACATTCCATATTTGTAGGAAAAAATATGTGTTTTTGGTATACACATAGATAACTGCCGTATTTTGAAGGTAGTTTACATTAAGGTTGTCTCTTTACATTAATTGTGTTGGTTTAATTTAAGTAATATGGTTCAATCAATTATATGATTTATATTATTTGTAACATTTTAGAAAGGGTCCAAATTTAAATGACAACTTGTATAAATAGATAAAAAGAATGACTCTATTTTAATAGAGTAGATTAAAAAATCCTAAGGGACCTTTATGGTAGTCCCACCAATACCAATGCCCTTACGGTTCCTACAACTTTTCTGAGAACCACTCATCAACACCTGCTTAAAGAATCACAATCTCGGATCTGCAAACTGGTCCAAAATTACCTAACCGGCGACATGAAGAGGGATTCGTAACCAGCAATGCGTTAGCGAATAGTAAATGAAGAATGTCCCCTTTAACCAATAGAACCCGGGACCTTGTACATTCATTTAACACAAAACCAGTACATAGTAATGAGACCGGGTTGGACACACCTCCTCCGGTGAAGCAACCTTCGAACCACTAAGAAAGTCGAAAGCCCAACTGACACCAATCTTCTATCGTTGGACACATGCAACCCTTTCCACGTAGAAAAAACACTTCTGAAACTTAAAGGAAAGAGAGATGGTTGTAAGGAGTGCCATACACCAGACACCGCACCAACTTCGAAGAGGAGCCAATAATCATAAGCGTGGACGAACCAGACACAGACATAATTGATGACCACCAAACCATATGCTACCACATCAGCTATCTACAAGAACGAGCCGACTCACCCACAAATTACACTCTACGCACGATGCCAAAGACCACTGGGGTACTCAAAGCCAGAAACATAAAGATCATATCCACACACTCACAAAACTTAGATCTACAGAGGAGAAAACGTAACCACACTCCAAAGAGATTTACCCAGCAGCTCACAAACCACTAAACTCGAAGGAAACACCGCCGAAGGAGAGAAAACCCACAAGACAGAGATCCTCAAACGAGAGTGGAACTAGTCCTAGCTATCTGAAAGAGGAGTTGTCCTCAAACCCCATTCTACCGCCGTGGACATGCAAGAACCACCAAATCTAAATCGGTGGAAACGTGGGGTCACGCTCCTCCGTAATGAGAATAGTAAAATATCATAGAAAGAAAAATAAGGAGAAGTAGAAAGAAAAACTGTCGGGAATAATCCATAATAATATATATAAACATAAGCACATATTAGTGAAATCAATTTTTTTCGCCGTTATAAATACATTGTCATTCACCAGACAAGAGAAACTTGAGCTGTCATGTCTTTGTTCTGAAACAGAGAAACCCAGAAAACAAAGGAAACAAAAAGGGAATTTTTTCGAATTTTCAAAACAAAAACACTTTTTCTTCTGCCATTTTTGGTAAGGAAAAACACAAGAAAAAAAAAGACAGAACATAAACAGAGTGTCACTTCGCTCCCTCAGTTTCAACATGGCTTCTTTAGATCTTTATATCTTTGATGGTTCGTCTTCATCTTCAGATATGTTCTCTTCAGGCACAACGACTACGGACTTGTTCTGCAACAATGAACTCTACTCTGTTGATGAATCTCTTAACATTTTTGACCATTTCAGCCCTCACATCCTCTCCTCATCTCCTCCAAGCGACCAGCTTGGAACCCTAACTCTCTCTCATCAAATTCCCACTGGATTATATCCTGACTTCCCCGATGGCCTCAAAACAGAGCAGATTTACGGCGGATCCGGTCATAATCAGAAGGAAACGGTTGCGTCAATGGTGAGAAGCTACAGTGCAGTAGAGAATGTAGAGAGATACATGCAAAGAAACTTTAGCACCAATTCCGTAAACGTAAAACCAAATCAGATTCCGTTCAACAACGTTCCGATAAAGGATTCTTTAAATCTCCATTTCAATAGCTTAAACTCGACGGAAAATGACTTCTTTTCCGGTCAGATGATGCGACGAGTCTTTAGCACAGGCGATTTGCAGGTCTCTATTTTTCTTGCTCTTTTGTTTCTTTATGTGATTTTACTATAAGTTTTGATTTTGATTCTTCTTTTTTTCTTCTTTTTTCATCGATTTTGATTATCCATTTTACAGAGTCCAAGAAAGAATGTTGCAGAGCAGAGATCATCGGAGCCGTTTCCAGACGAGCAGAACATTAAGGTTGGACGATACAGTGCAGAAGAACGTAAAGAGAAGATCTCAAAGTACAGAGCTAAACGAAACCAGAGAAACTATACCAAAACTATTAAGGTAACAACTTTAGTATTACATTTCCCAAATTCTGAAAGCATTTCATTTCTTTATTTTAATTAGTAACTTTTTTCTGGGATGGAAACAACAAAAAAGTATGCATGCAGGAAAACGCTAGCGGACAGTAGACCTCGAATACGTGGCAGATTCGCTCGCAACAACGAAATTGTAGAGATTCCAAACATTGAAGACGAGGACACCGAGCTTTGGGTAATTCATATTCTAAAACTAATTTTCTGTACTTGAATATTTTTAGTCAACATATACCAAGTTTTTTGTTGACAAAGAAACCAAAACTTTTTTTTTGTAAAAATCATTGTACAATAAATGATAACTCGTTTTAACTCAATAATACGCGCAGAACGTTGTCCTTCATCAAAACAGAAACAATTTCAAACTGGTTCTACAAAGCTAAAATCATATGAAAGACTATAGAATTGTGAATTTATAAATTTAGTATCCAAACATTTTGTATTTTATATGAAAATGAATAACATACGCTTCGCTTTTGCTGCATATATCTAAAAAAAAACATTGTGAAATTGTATATTTTATATATTTTAACGGTTTTTGCATGTATCCTTGAGAACATAAATAAATTGAATAAAGTAAAACTATTATATTGTAATTGTTAAATGTGTGTAATTAATAAAAATGGATCTCAGTTTGTTAAAATAATGATGTGCAGAAATTGGATGAGCTGCATGAGGTAGATGAACCTTTTGGGAGCAGCTTTGTGGTGCAACAGACTCATTTGCAATACACAGATTCTTCTTCTTTATGGTGAAAGACTATTAATCAATAAAATCAAGGTCGTCCAATAATTTTTAGAGAAACGTAAATCTTATAAAGTTACCCTGTATGTATTTTCTTGTTATTTGATCTTCTTATGTATTGAAAATAATCCTTTCTGTGAATGTTGAAGAATGTTGAAGTTTAGTAATGGAAATTCAACGTATGAAAAAAAAAATAAACGTATGCACGCATTAAAACCCTTGACCAAGGTCGAGGGTTACATTCTTTAATATAATGTCAATTTTATAAGAATTTTGATTAGTGGACTGAGACACTGATTTTGTTATAAACTAACAGATTATATTTCTTTAAACAGGGTTCTACAATTCAAGCCACCTTTTCAAAAGATTTGGATGAACCTTTTCAAAACCCTATGGAGGAAGGTGAGTGGTATGAGTTACAAAACTTTGACATTACCTATGCAACTGGGATAACGAGGGTGTCAAGGAACCGATACCAAATTAACCTCAGTGACGCCTCCATCATTTTCAACATTCCACCACTCTCCTTTTGCAACTATTATCATTTTGAAACATTTGATAATGTACTCAAAGGGCTAGCTCATCCAATGTTTTCTATTGGTAAATTTATATACTTATCTTATATTATTTTTTAAAAAGTTTAATGCCAACTGATATGTTTGTTTAACTATGACTAATTTACGTTTAAAATTTACAGATCTGTATGGAGCTTTGGTATCAATGGGTGACATTGAAGCAGATGCAATAGGGAACCATAAAATCGAATTCTCTTTAGTGAATATTGAGTAAGTAATTTTTTTTGTTTTTATAGCTGTTTTTTTCACTGTTATTGCATATGAACTAAATTTTT